GGTACATTTTCACCTTTAAAATCTGGTATCATATTTGTAACGTAATCGATTTGACAGCGATATCCAAAGCTCCAACTCAATGAGGCTACCCTAGAATATCTGGATCACATTTTATGTCATTTTTCAATAAATTCTTTAATGTACATTTTACATAGGTTTTTTACCATTTGATGCTCGTATGGGTTTCAACGACCAAAGTAGTAAAACAACCATGAATATCAGGCATGTGGATGGAAGAGGCAAAAATAAACGTCAATTGCGCGCAATTCCGCGTGACACGTCGTTAAAGGGACGCACACGAACTTTACGACCCTGTCAGAGAGCCGAGACGGCTGATGTGGCCATTGTAGTAAAAAGGGTTGTGGATCAAGGACACGAAGTCTCATTCAAAACGACGATCGCTTCATTCTCGACCAGCAACGAACGAGAAAGCGGCAATGAAATTGGCAAGGAGCTTTTCACTGCCTCCATTAACCGTCCACCTCTAGGCCTGCTTATGAACTGAGTTCAGCAAAATATGCCAGACGTGGAATGTGATGACGGCACCTCATTTTTACTTGAGGTAAAAAGAGATCGTAAGTTTCATATCGCGCGCTATTGAGGAAGACAATGAGGATCAGGGGGCTCTTCTACGTATTTTGTGCCGTGTTGTCAGCCATTGCAAAGACTATAATGCCTCAAAATTAATAAACGACTGCCTTCAACAACAAGACCATGCATTTTATGACATCTCCCTAACCATATATGGGAGTGAAAATAACAGGCCTGAAGCCACGTACTATCTGATCTAATGAACAGACATCATCGATATAACGACAAACTTACATATGCGAAGATCGCACGTAAGGATGATGCCTCACGAGCATCAAATACGTTTCGATAATTGAGGAACACCATAGAAGTCTCGTCCTCGCTGTCACGGACCTCACTCCCATTCCAACAGATTTTCATGTTTAAACCTTCGATTAATTTCCCAGGGGTCACTGTTTCCACTCGTCTTATAACGCACGAAGGTAAAGGGAAAGAGACAGTGGTACAGAATGAATTCCTTGACCTTTCATGCCAGAAAAGCCACTTCGAATCCAACAAAAATCCCGTTGAACAAGAAATTCACACCGCGGTGCTTCATGCACCTAACCTAGACACAGGGTAAAACAGATTTTTGCGTAAATTTGGAGAATACGGAGCTTATTGTTATTCCGCATGAAACACATAGCGATATAACTTTAACCATTCATTAAACATAAGGGAATAAAACTCTTTATAAAAATGATAACTAATCATAACAATGAATTAACATAATTCAACTATATTATCAGTAACGACGAAAACAATAAATAACTTATGCTTCCAACATCTATTTACAGGAATGAAAACGACGTATAACAACAGCCAAAATGAATAATAGACGAATTATTGTATAAAATCATGCATGGAGCTAATCAGTAACTGACAGACGCATCGATGGATACCTAGCCGCAGCCGTTATGGACGTGAGCAGCTGGTTTGCTGCTTTTCGCGGGCGATACTACGTGTATATGATTCCCTTGTCCTGACCGTCGACGTAGATGTACTGGCCAATGATGCGAGCAATCTCGGTGCCCTGAGCAAAGTGTAAAGTTTAAAGTTTAAAGTTTAAAGTTTCAACGATGCATAAGGGTTTCGACATTTACTTCGTTTGTTTCGAGTGCAATGGTATGTTGTTGCAGCAGGTTTCCAACTTTGAGCTGTAAGAGCCCCGCTGGAATTGTGGGATCTCCTTCAGACGTTTTAGTAGTCTGAAGAATTTCGTTCAGTCTGAACGACAGCAGATCTTCCTAGTAATAGAGAACAGACATGGTCAGAAATCAACCGCGTCAAGTGAAAGACTGCCATACGTGAGTCAGCAGCGACAGAAAGTGGATTCCTCGCTTGTTGACGGCCAAGAGGCAGGGGCCGACCACAGCTGGGTTATATACATGCTGCAAATTAAACCAAACGTCATACCACACGGGCAACGTGCCGACAAACAAAACCCTTACAGCAATGTAGTAAAATTTTGAACCGAACAAAGGCCAGCTTTGTATAACTTCTAAAGCAACGAAACGATACGCATTAAACCGAGTCAGTGATTGACTGTCAAATTCGCTACCTAAGAACTTCGACCTAGCTGCTTGTGGCGTCGTGTCTTCGATGCTTTGGTGCAGCTTCTGGTTGATGCGGTCCGCCCAAAGTTGAAGACTGGTATGCCGTATATTTTGAACGATGCGAGGCAGCACATTGGCGACCATTTGAGGCGAGACGTGTTGTCGGTCCCAGTCTTCCCTCGACTTGACGATCAGCGCTCCTAATGTCACTATGTCATCCTGCAACATTAAACGAAACCAGTAACTACCAGATCGAAGCTATAAAAACAAACAGCCGTCTACCATGACTGATACGCTGACAGAGTCCGGCGTCCGCATGGTCACCAGCAGACCTTCCAAGTAATCCGCTTCTACCTTGAATTAACAAGTCAGTTTGAATGACGCATTTCCTGCAAGTCGAGCAACAACTGACCTGAGCAAACATAACGTCGACGTACAAGTCGTTGTCCCACCGCAAAGGGTGAATCCACACACTACGGTCCAGCAGCAGTATATATTCATTCTTCATGTTCTCCAGAGCTGTCGTGACATCGAGCACGTATTCATCATTGGACAGCATCTTCTTTACGTTTTCTGTACAGTATATCTCGAATAAGAATGCGACAAACACAAACAACAGAACCATGCCTGCTTCGATGACGTAATAAAGAGAGAATTCCTGCTGCTCCACTGTACTGCGAAGGTTCATCTCCAAACATAGTTCTCTGATCGCTTCTTCTACTACCGTCACCGACTTTGTGTTAATCACTTTCTTGGTGCCATCATGAAAGTAATACAACTGCCTTCGGAAGTTCTTTCCTTCCTACAATGATTAAATATAAGCTTTTTCACATGATGGGTTGCTAGGTTCATGTTGCACAAAGGTCAGATCATGTCTGATCAGCAAAAAAGGCAGAAAAATTCTCATGTGGACCTAGAGGAGAAAGATATTATGATATTTCAGTTCTGATCCTTTTCTCTTAAGGTTAAGAATACAGTTAGGTAAGTCCAAGCATGGCTACACATATCTAGTAAAATGACTCAAAATTAACAGATAGCCTTAGTCAAAGTCCTTACTTCTGCTGAGTTGGACAAACACGTTCGACAGAAAAATGCAGAATTAAGCGATGCCAATAAATGATACCCTTTTAGGCGGAATATAGCATCTTAGAAAAGCTAGCTGAATTATTCTTATTTGACGACAATTAAAATCCTCAAGAACTCGATGATCGATTTGACAATCGCATCGTCTCATCTTCGACACTCTGCAGTGGGTAGTCGCATTAAGAGGAGCAGAGCTGCCAACCGATCATCACCTTGTTGTTGGCACGCTGCGCTGTAAGAAATGGAGTACCATACGAAGATCTGGTGGCACG